GGGCTAATCTTCCTCAAAAAAAAAAAAAAAAGATAGAAAGAAAAAAAGAGAGGAACTAGGATCAAACCCAGCTCTATGTGATGCCTGAGCCCAGCTCTTAACCATAATGCTTTGTCCTTTTGTGGGTCTCCTTTTCGCTCATCCCATCCCCCTTGTCAGCACTTCCTTACCCCCAAACTCTCCATACTTTGATGCTGTTGTCCTATCAAACAAACAGAGGTGAAAAGAGCTTATACTTGCATTTCCAAAAAATATTTGCAACTTTAAAGAGTGCCCCAAGATGTATGCCCAGGAGGACAGATGGTAAGAGAGATACCTACAGAGGATGACAGTGCCCAACCTGGATGATATGCTAAGAACTTTGGACTTTTCCCCACAGCCATGGGGAGCTACTGAAGGTTTTGGAGCAAGGGAGTTCCATGATCATTTCCAAATTTTGAAATGATCTCACTGGCAGAGGGAGGGAGCATGGACAGGCCAGGGACTACTCAAGATTGGAGGCAGGGTGATCTGTTAAGAGGCTGGAGAAACAACCCAGATAGTGATGCTGTGGGCCTGAACCAAGGTAGAGAGAACAGGAGAGGGACAGATAAGACAGAAGCCATAGGAAAGGGGAAGGTTTAAGATGTCTTTAATTTATTAAGCTTTTATTCATCCAGTCGGTCTTATTTACTCCACCCTTTATTTATTCAACAAAGTGAGAGCCTATTGACTGCCAAGAGCTGCACTAGCCCTGAACTGACTCCCGGTTTGAATCTGGGTGACAAGGAGGAATAGATCAGGAACTCAAGAGCAGAAGCAGCCTGCTTTAGTTAATGCTTGGCCATGCTGAGTTTGTCATAATGGCCAACTTTAGAATTTCTCTCTGGGATCTTTAAGGATCAATCATCACAAAAAGCCCAGCTTAGAGAAGACACAAATTATATGGTATAATTTGAGGCCTCCCAGGTTTCATCATTAGATGTTCATTCTTTTGGATCAGTCACTGCTGCTGCAAAGGGAAAATTCAAGCAATTATTCTATGATCGTTTCACTCCCCTGACCTAAACCTTCAGTCCTTCCCCATGATCTATAGGAAAAGTTTCAGGTCCTTAGAATGGCATCCAAACTGGGCACATCACAGTTATAATTTTACTGTATGAATCTTACTAGAGCCTATTTCTCTCACTAAACTAGCAACTATTTTTCTTCATCATTGTATCGCCAGCACCTGGCACAGTGCTTAGCAGGCAGAGGCTGCTTAATCAATATTTTTAAATGAATGAGTGAATGCATGAATGCAAAAGACTAATGTGTCTTTGCTTTAGAGGGACTGCCAGAGATGTCAACACTCATGGATTCTAGCATGACCCCGTTCTTGACCTTCTTGGACTAAACCCTCTATGGACTTGAACCCCAGGCCAACCACAGCTGCAGCTGGGTTCCCAGAGGCCCTGAGGCCGGGAATGGGCACAGGTCGCTGGCACCTGTGGGCTGTCTCCTTCATCCCCAAGAGCTTTGCTGCCAGAGTGTGTGTTTTATACGCATTGCTGAGGAGATAGGACCGAAAGGGCTACAGCAGAAACATGAAGAATGCTCTCCTCTTATCAGCTTTTATACAACATTCTTTTCTCTTAAGAGTGAAGTTACAGTTGCCAAGGATCAAATAAATACTTTGGGCAATTTGAAGAGGGGCTCTTTTTAATTTTATTTCATTTTTATTTTTTTAAGGTTATAAAAGTTAACATCCTTGTGAAATTACAGTTGTACATTATTATTAGTCATGTTGTAGGTACACCACTTCACCCCTAGTGCCCTCCCCCCACCCCCCTTTCCCCTGGCAACCACCGATCAGTTCGAAGAGGGGCTCTTTTGTACTTAAGAGGGCAACATCCCAATCCTTCGGATTTCTCTGCCTCACTTACCTCTTCCAGCAAACCCAGGTCCAGCAGGTCAGGCTGGGCCCAGGAAGGAACCACTATCACTTAGGTAACCAGCACCCGGCAGAGAGCTGAGTGGAGACTGAAATGCCCCCCGGCTCCACTCGGAGCCCGGGCTGTGTCTGTCTGGGGTGGAGGCACCTTTTCTAATTCACACAAAGGCCTGGAGGGGATGAATTTTTCTACCTGCACAAAGATACCTTATGAGTTAGTGGTGGTGATAGTGATGGGGTCTTCTGGGGACCCTGACCAAAAAGCTGAGGTATTTAAAAGAAGCCCCTGCACCCAGCCAAAAGCTGAGTGGAACTCTAGCACCCCTTGGATGGGTTTATAAGGAGCACCTAAGCCCCTCAGAGCTCTCCCCCTGTTCCACTTTGTAGCCTAGTGGTTGCTAACTCCCTGCTCAGCCCTTGGGGAGCCGCCTGCCCTAGACTCCTTGCCTGCCCTCCTTCCCCACCAGTCCCACAGGTTACCCTCCAAACATACCTCAATGTGCCCTAGATACGTCCCAGCGATTATGAATCAGGCCATAGGCTCAGGCGCAAGAAAAGTCGCACTGCCTCCTTTCCATTGGTCTCTGACCATCTTCCCTCTGCGCTGGCAGAAAACTCAGTCTTGGTGGTTATTTTGATGCCTTCCTCCTCCTTGGGGTGACCCAGGGCCCTGAACACAGGACAAAAGCCTGGACGTGGCTGTCTTCAAGAAACTGTGGCCTTCCACCTGGCCGCATCCTCCCCCAAAGGAAGGGATCTTTGCTACCTGCTTAAATCAAGGTTAAAAAAAAAAATACAGGGAGAACGCAACTTAACACCTCAACCAATTCTCCAGCCAGTCTATTTAATCCCTTCCTCCTACTAGTTACTAACTCCCTAGTGTAGACTCTTACCACTTTCACCAGGACTTCTCTGCCTCAGCCTCCTTGCTGGTATCCCCGAAAATCCATCTTCCACAGAGCCAGTGCAATCCTTCTAAGATGCTAGTTGGGTTGTCTCTCTCCCCTGCTTAAGACTCTTCCACGGCTCCCCACAGCTCTCAGCTCAAACACCCGAGCATGGCCAGCTCCTGCCTGCTTCCCTGGTTCAGGACCCCAAGCCCCCACATCACCCCACACAGCTCCCTGGGACCTTTCAGCATCTCTGTCTTAGCAGGGTTTGCTTATTCGCCTGGGACTCTCATCTCCCCATCTTCCCCTCTGGCTAACTCCTACTTGGACATTAAGATTAAGCTGGTGGGACAATCATACAATTATAAACAGTGCGACTTACGATTTTTCGACTTCATGATGGTGCGAAAGTGATGCACATTCAGTAGGAACCGTACTTCGAATTTTGATCTTTTCCTGGGCTAGTGACGTGCAGTACGATACTCTCTCGTGATGCTGCTCAGCTGCAGTGAGCCGCAGCTCCCAGTCGGCCACGGATCATGGGGTAAAGAACCGGTACACTTACAACCATTGCGTACCCAGCCAGCATTCTGTTTTTTACTTTCAGTATGACATTCAATAACTTACATATTGAATATTCAACACTTTATTATAAAATAAGCTTTGTGTCAGATGATTTTGCCCACTGTAGGCTAATGTAAATGTTCTGAGCAGGTTTAATGTAGGCTAGGCTAGGCTATGATGTTCAGTAGGTTAGGTGTATTAAATGCATTTTCAACTTATGATATTTTCAACATACAATGCGTTCATCAGGACTTAACCCTGTCATAAGTTGTGGAAGATCTGTATGTGCCTTGCAATGCAATGCAGCAGGAAGGACACAAGGCCACCTGAGCAGTCTCGCCAAAAAAATCAAACCTGAATGTCATCAAACCTCCAGGTCTAATTATCAGTTTACGGGAAATATGAGGGACAGAAGAACATGTTAAATAACACCACCAAGAAGCAATCAGCCAAATACTCCAGAATGTGGGAAATTTCATAGGGCAAATGACCTGGTTCCTTTGACAGAAGACAAGGAAAAAAGACAGAGTGAGAGAGGTCTACAAATTAAGAGAGACATATCAACCAAATGCAGTGTGTGGACCTGGTTTGGATCCTGATTTGAGTGAACCAACTGTAAAAAAATATTTTGACACAACCAGGGAAATTCACACATTGACCAAATATCTAACTGGTGATAGTAAAGAATTACTATTATGTTTTTAGATCTGATATAGTATTATCATTGTGTGAGAAAAAGTGTCCTTATCTTTTAGAGAGATATACTAAAGTGTTTATGCGCAAAATGATATGATCTCTGCAATTTGCTTTAAAATAATCCAATGGGGTTGGGGTGGTGGTACAGATAAAGTAAGATTGGCCTTAAATTCATAATTGCTGTAGCTGGGGGATGGGTACTGGAGGTCCATTTCACTATCCTCTCTACTTCTGTTTATGTTTGGCAATTTCAATAATAAAAGAAGAGGGGCCAGCCTGGTGGCACAGCAGTTAAGTGCACACGTTCTGCGTCTGCGGCCCGGGGTTCGCTGGTTCAGATCCCGGATGCGGACATGGCACCGATTGGCAAAAGCCATGCTGTGGCCGGCGTCCCACATATAAAGTAGAGGAAGATGGGCACGAATGTTAGCTCAGGGCCAATCTTCCTCAGCAAAAAGAAGAGCATTGGCAGTAGATGTTAGCTCAGTGCTAATCTTCCTCAAAAAAAATTAAAAAATAAAAGAAGAGATTAAACCTGTGTCACCTCTTCCCAGAAGCCTTCTCATTTTCCTTGGAGAGTTAGATCCCTCCCCTGGGCTTGTCAAGCCACCTAACATGCTGAACCGCAGTCCAGCAGTTTACCTCCCCCTCTTGAGGGCAGGGCCACCCTAGGTCCTCTCCATCTCCCTGGGACGTGGCTCCCGGCATGAAAGAATGGCTGACTCTTAGTCTTGGTTCATTTGTGGTTGAGCATCTCGATCTCCAACTAGCAATTAAGTTCCTTTGAAGGCAAAGGCCAACCATTTTATACAGGTTTGTTTTATCTGCTGGGGTGGGGCAACACGAAAACTCCAGAAGTAGATGATATTTGCCTCTCAGTGGCTGGGGCTGGGTGACCTTGCTGGAGACTCCAGTTGCTGGCTGGACTGACACGCTCTGAGGAACCAGCCGGACAGGAGCTACTGTCGACTTCAGAGTCCAAAGGCGTGGCTGGTGCATCTCCTTGGACAAACCCAGCTCACACCCTGCTGGGCAAAGGAGGAAAAGCCAGAGGAGCCAGGACCTTGAATGACAGGCAACACCCGGTAACAGGACGAGAAGTTCTGCTCAGGCACGTGGCCACAAACACCTAGTGAGGAAGCCTGCGGCGCGGCTAACAGCTCCTGGAGGACCCCACGGCTCCTGGGAGGCGAGCCCCAGGGATGAGGCTGCTCAAGCTGCTGATTTTCCTGGCCCACTGGGGAGTCGCCAGGGCTGGACTAGGTAGGCGCTGCGAATGCCTGCGGTGTCTTTGTTTTGTACTGTGAACTCGGGATCTGGGAGCTGGAAGCTGCTCTCAGAAAGCTGAAAGAGCCGCTAAAAATAGCAGGGCAGGAGCAAGAGCAGGGAGGGTGGGAGAGTCAGGGGCGGTGGGGGTGCTGTTGAGACCTAAAGATTTTAAGTGGAGGCAACAGCTGGCCAAGGGAGGGACACTGACTTTGCTAAGAGGTGTGGGTACATAAGAGCCAGCCAGCTGGTAGAGGCAGAAGGTAGAAGGCACACAGATTCATGGATTCATTCCACAAATGTTGGTTGAGAGCCTTCTATGTACCATGTGCTATTCTAGGAACCAGAAAAGAAAAGAAAACAAACAAAGCCCCACTCCCCTGAAGCATTCCTTCACCCGGGAAGAAACAGACCAAAAGACACGTGAACAAGTACAATCATAGTATTCCAAGTGTTAGGGAGAACACTAAAGCAGAAAAAGGAGTAGGGAGTGTGGGGGAGGGGGTAATTATGGGGTGGCCAGAGAAGAGCTGTCTAATAAAGTGAAATTTGAATAGAAACCTCAGGCAGTGTGGGAGAGAGCCATGTGGACATCCGGGAGAACATTCCATTAAGAGAGGACAGAAAGTGCACAAGCCCAGAGCTGGAGGCACTGGCGATGTGTGTGGGAAGAGCAAGGAAGCAGAGTGGTTGGAGCAGAGTGGGCAACAGAGGGAGGCGGAGACGAGGTTGGGGGATCACGGGGTGGGGGCAGGGGGCTGCGCCAGCTCCTGTATAAACTGGTAGACAATTTCAAGGACTCAGAGTGAAATGGGACATCATTAGAGGATTTAGGCAGCGCTCTGACATGATCTGACTTGTGTAAGTTTAAAAGGACCCTTGTCTGTTGTATTGAGAAAAGACTGTCATGGGGTGAAGGTGGGTTAACCAGCTTGTCTGGGTTTGCCTGAGACTTTCCTAATTTTAGCATTTAAATTTCGGCGCCCTGGGCACTCCCTCAGTTCTGGGCAAACTGGGATGGTGCAGTCACCCTAGTAAAGGAAAAGCAACAAAACCAGTGAGGAGGCTATTGCCATCATCCAGTGAGAGAGGATGGAGGCTCAGCCCGGCGTGGTAGGAGTGGAGGTGGTAGGAGACGGTCTGATTCTGGACGAGACTTGCCGACAGATGGTGGGTGTGAGAGGAGAACTCAAGGGGGCTCCAAGGTTTTTCGTCTCAGCAGCTGGAAGGACGGAGTTGTCATTTGCTGAGATGAGGGAGGAGGAGACAGCAAGGATTTGGGATATGCCCAGTTTGCGATGCCTGTTAGATTTCCGCGCGGTTGGAGATGAGTTAGTGGGAGGGATGGACCTGTAGTTTTCCTTAGGATTCTAGATTGCCCTTTTCTGGAGTCCTCTGAATGGGACCTTAAAGATGATCCAACACCCTTTTGGTGCAGCTGCAGAAACTGAGGCTGAGAGAGAGAAGGACGGGCTCAGGGTTCTGCTCATCGCTTGCCGCTGTGGAGCTCAGTTTTCCCAGGCTGCAGTCTGAAGGGTCGATGGCCTCTGATCGGTCTACTTCCTAGACGCTACCCAGGAGCCTTGGCAAAGCGCTCTGCTGATGTGACCTGGCATCTCAGAGGCCAGTGAGGAGATGCATAGGCACTCGGGAGGCAGGAGACCAGAGTGAAACGCCTGGGAAGGCCTCGGGTCCAAAAGCTGTGCCTTAACGGTGGAAACATCTCCGGGACAAGCCCTAAGAGGATGCATCATTCCCCGTGAGGGCAATCTGCTTGGGAGAAGGCTGAGAGAGGCTGTCCTCCTTTCTCTGGGAGGCAGATACCCCGTTCCCCACTGGGAGACTCAGGGCTCTGCCTGTCTGACTGGAGGCTGGGGAATGATTGAAAGAACCTTCCACCCCCTCACTCTTTCACTTTAAATATGTTTTCTTAGAAATCCCCATGCCACTGGGCACCCCTCAGCCCACGGTCTTAGTGGTTAAAAAAATTCTCTGCTCCCCCCAAATGCACCAAGATGTTCATCACAGCATTGTTTATAATCATGGAAAATGCGAACAACAAAAGAATGGCTGAATAGATGATGGTAAAACCACCTGGTGAACAAGTTTCAAGACAATACAGCAAAACTGAAAACAACAAGTAACATTTATCAAAAACTGAGGTGCCAGGCACTGCTGAAATTCTTACATACCACCCTGAGGACAGCCTTGTGAAACAGGGATTTTCACGGAAACCCAGCCTTAGAGAAGTTCAGTAACTAACCCAAGGGGACACAGCTACTACGTGTCGGAGTCTGGATGTGAACCCACGCCCTACAACTCCCATCTGTTTCTAAAATATACTGTGTAAAAACAAACACACACTAAGGAAAACAGCCAAGAAGAGCTAACGTGTTTATTCTTCACTTGTGAGGGGCCACACTTGCGCTAGGTGTGTGATGTATGCTGTCCTTTTAAAACCCATTTGAGGGGCTGGCCCGGTGGCGCAGTGGTTAAGTATGCACCTTCTGCATTGGAGGCCTGAGGTTCTCTGGTTCGGATCCCGGATGTGGACATGGCAACCGCTTGGCAAAAGCCATGCTGTGGTAGGCGTCCCACATATAGAGTAGAGGAAGATGGGCACGGATGTGAGCTCAGGGCCAGTCTTCCTCAGCAAAATGAGGAGGACTGGCAGATGTTAGCCCAGAGTTAATCTTCCTCAAAATAAATAAATAAAACCCATTTGAAAAATGAAATTAAAAAATTTTCATTTGATTTTTATAGTCCCTGTAAAGTAGGTACTATCACTATTATATCATTTTGCAGATAAAGCAAATGCGGGTCAGAGGAGACACACTTGTCCAAGATCCCGCAGCTAGGAAGCGGCAGGACCGAGCCTGCACTCAGCTGCCTTAGGCATCACGCCCTTTGATGGGTCCTCTCTCGGGCTGGTGGGTTTTATAGGTTCTATACTATTTTTTTCTCTTTCCTCCAAACATTCTGGTATGTATACATCTATAATTTAAAAGCAAACAGAAATTTAGAAAGAATTGCACAGCACCTGTAAGTTTTTTCAGAACCTGAGTCTCTCCCACAGAACTTTGAGACACCCAACCAGTTAGCAGTCATCCCTGCTTGGCATAACACTGTGGGTTTCCGCCTCCACCTTCCTGAGCCAAGAGCTTGGGTGGGGCGCCAACTGCTGGCTCTGTCTCCTCCCACACATGCCCCAGGCCACACCGCATTCTCCTTCGGCTCCTAATCGCAGAGAAACAGACAAGTTCTTTCCGGATGGGTTAGCAGGGAAGGAAAACGCTTCCCTCAAGAATGATAAGCCTACCTCCTATAGCTGTTGTGAGGAGAGGGCAATTCATGTGGTTAACACAAGTCAGTAAATGTTGGTTTTAGCAAGTGAACCCTCTGTGTTTTACGCAGCCTTAGTTTACAGAAGAGGAATGACAACTCAAGGGTTTAAGGTTAGTGCTTAGCATCAGAGGCAAATGACTGAGCCAACCCTGGGGCCTATGGTTAAAGTTCAGTGCACTCTGCTTCAGCCTATGGTTAAAGTTCAGTGCACTCTGCTTCAGCGGCAGGCCTGGGTTTGGTTCCCAGGCGCAGACCTACAGCACTGTCTGTCCATAGCCATGCTGTGGCCGTGGCTCACATAGAAGACCTAGAAGGACTTACAGCTCCAACATACAATTATGCACTAGGGCTTTGGGAGGGGAGAAAAAAAAAAGAGGAAGATTGGCAACAGACATTAGCTCACAGTGTATCTTCCCTAGCAAAAAAAAAAATAAAAAAACAAGCAAAGGACTGAACTAGGGACCCAGGTTGTTTTGTGGTGTGAGTTATACACACAGCGGACAAAAGCATGGACTCACAGGGCATTAAAACTGGCAGGGCCCTCAGATAAACTTTATGAAGTACCCTCATCTTACACTTGAGGAAACAGAGGCTCCAGAAGAGAAGAAAAACTGAGGCCTGAGGGGCTGCGTGGCACAGAGGATGAGCACCCAGACTGGCCTGTCCACCCCACAGCTGGGTGCTCTGTATGAGATCACTTCGTTCATCCACACATCTATCCCTTTGCTACCAGCATGGTTACCCCCATTTTACAGATGAGGAAACTGAGGCTCAGCTGAGCAAATCACTTGTTCAAGTTGCCATTGCCTGTGTGGTGGAGGAGCCAGGATTCAAAACAAGATTTCCCTGATTGCCGGTTTCACCCACGCCCTTTCAAACACAACCTGTTGCCTTCCAGAAAACCTAGATCCTATCTTCTAATGTCAAGTGACCTTGAGCCTCTGTTTCACCATCTATAAAATGGGGATAATAGCAAAGGGGAGATTAAATATGACAGTTAAGTCAGATCACACACATACATTGTAATGCGCTGTAAAAGTATAAGGGACCATTTTTTTACATGTCTAAGATCACACTGCTAGCTAGTAGCAGAGTACAGTGCACCATGATCATTTCTGTTCTGACACAGTATGAATCCCAGATCTACCACTAACTAGCTCAGTTTTCTCATCAGTGAAATGGGTACGATAGTAGAATGTATTTCATGATTTTGTCGTGAGGCTGCATGGGTACAGTGCTTGGCACAGCATGTGGCATTCAGTAGGCGGTAAATAAATGACAAGTGTCTTCCTGCCTTCTTTTTCTTGTCTCTGATCATAAGCAAACCCAACTTTTGGCCAGTTTAGTACCTTCTTAGGCTCTAGGAATGATTTTTGTGAGTCGTCCCCGCCTCATCATGAATCACAGTAAAAGGAGTTCACACTATGTATGATTTTTATTTTTTCTATTGTTTTTGCTGAGGAAGATTAGCTCTGAGCTAGCTAATATCTGTTGCCAATCTTCCTCCTTTTTTTTTTTGCTTGAGGAAGACTAGCCTTGAGCTACCATCTGTGCCAATCTTCCTCTGTTTTGTATGTGGGTTGCTGCCACAGTGTGGCTGACAGCAGTGTAGATCCATGCCCAGGATCCAAACCTGCAAATCCAGGCCACTGAGGTAGAATGCGCCAAACTTAAATCCTATGCCACAGGGCTGGCCCCTGTATGATTCTTTTTTTTTTAAATTTTTATTTAATTAAATTAATTAATTTTTTGAGGAAGATCAGCCCTGAGCTAACATCTGCTGCCAATCCTCCTCTTTTTGCTGAGGAAGACTGGCCCTGAGCTCACATCCATGCCCATCTTCCTCTACTTTATATGTGGGACGCCTACCACAGCATGGCTTGCCAAGCGGTGCCATGTCTGCACCTGGGATCTGACCTGGCAAACCCCAGGCTGCCAAAGCGGAACGTGCGTACTTAACTGCTGCGCCACCAGGCTGGCCCCTCCCTGTATGATTCTTAATAAAATTTTTAGTATTGCTTTTGAAATGAGTTGTTGATTTTGATGACATGGTTTTTTTCCTGAACTTTGGAGCCAATGCATTTTTTTCAGGTCTCAGACATTTCCATCTGCCTTACAAAGCTACTAGGTCCTGGCCCTGTGTCTGTCATCCCCAATGGACCAGGGGGCCTAGCGACCCCTTTGGTGAAGGAGGAGGAGGGCCAGGAGACTGTTTTGCCAGCCAAGGACAGGGAGCAGAGGGGAGCTCTCAAATTAGAACCAGGGGGTGCGCTGTGCCCATCGGCCCTCTGCTCCGGGAGGACCATCCAGGAGGAGACAGGATCCACCTTCACATTGTTCTGCTTCAGATATTCTTAGCCCCGGACCTGCGCTTTACCTACAGACGGCAGCTGAGGGGACTCTGAGGCAGGCAGAGAAAGGATGCCGCCATTCCCACCTTGTCCCATCTCCCTGCCTTGGAGAAAGGGGGACTTGCAAGACCCGTCCCAGGGTCCAAATTTGGAGTTTCTGCTGCTTTGCATTGCTGAGTGCTTATGTATGATCTTATTTTAACCCTCACAAAGACCCTAAGAAGTAGGGGGCGCTGTTGTCCCCATTTTACAGAGGGGGAAACTGAGGCACAGAGTAAGTTGCTCATCTTCACACAGCTAGTGGGCAGTGGAGCTGGAATTACAACCCAGGTCTGTGCCCTCAACTACTCACTGTACTTGATAGCACATTTATTCATATTCTCAATAATTAATGAATAATAATGTCTGAGATGGGGATACCTTTTCTTAAAACTCAAGGAATGCATGACTCTTTTCTTACTGTAAAAGATTCAAGCAGTATGACTATATAAAGCCTCTTAATTTTAACGAGATCCCCAGGTGAGGCGTCTGCACAGTCAAGTTTGAGAAGCTCCGGTCTAAAGGGTCAAGGGTCAAAGTGAATGATTCACCACACCCTCCCAGTCTCACTCCTGGCCCCAGGGGTAATTGCCAGGGACAGTGGAGCATTGTGATCCTCCTCTACGAGCCCTCCCTCCTTAACTGTCTTATTTGATGCTCACAGACAAGCAGGGCAGATGTCAAACACCCTCAGACTCAACTAGGCCAACTGGCTTGTCCAGAGTCCTCAGCCAACAAGTGGAAGAGCCTAGATTAGAAACCAGATGACCTGCCTCCCTATCCAGGGTCCTTATGCCCACCCCCGTCCCCAGGATGTGATAATTAGAGCTTACTTCCTCATGGTCTGTAACTAATCCCATAGAAGCCTGTGGCTCCGTTCTTTTCTGGGTAATGTATGCGTATTATAAAAGCCACTTTTGGGGGCTCTGAGTCAACATTGTGTCTCAGCTTTGGACTCAGAGAGGTCGGAGTTTTGAGCCTCAGTTTCCTCATCTGTGAAATGGGCGTAAGAATCGCACCTCACAGAATGGCTGCCAGGATGAAATGAGAGGCGTGTTAAGGGCACCGAGCCGACATTCTTTGAGTGTTTGCTGGTCTAATCATCCTCCCCACGGCCTTGTTCATTCGTTGAATATACTTCTGGGCCTGTTTCCCATCCCAGGCACTGGTCTAGGTGCTGAGGACAGAGAGATGAACAAGACAGGCTCTGTGCTCTCTCAGAACCAACGTTGTACACAGGAAAGATGGATGATGAGCAAGCCAACAAGATAATTTCCTATATGAGAGTGCTCTGAAGAAAATAAAACTGGGGCAAGTGGAACTTGAGAAAACGTAGTCAGGGAAGGCCTCTCTGAGGAGGTGACCTTTGGGCTGACGCCTGAATGAGGAGGAGAAAGCAGCCACGTGACCTGGGGAAGACTGGGGAAGGTGGCAGAGGAGCCAGGAAAGAGGCCCTGTGAGGACAACAAGTGGCGTGAGTTGGACTGAGCCACCACCTCAGATGAGGGCTCTGTGACCCGCCTCCACAACGAGGAGACTGGAGCCCAAAGAGCTGGAGGCCCTGCCTGGACCTCTGGTTCTCCATGCCATTCTTTCTACCTTCTCGGCCTCTCCTGCAGTCAGGCCTTCAGGGAGACACATGCACACACACACGTACACACACACGTACACACACGTACACACACACGTACACACACACGTACACACACACATACACAGAGGTCACTAGGAAATTCCAGGCGGGCTGGAAAGAAGAGAAACCAACAGCTGCTACCGGCGCCTCTGTGAGCAGACAAGGAGTTTCCGAAGTGGAGAAATGTTCACTGAGTATTTTGAGGGCTGACATCAAAGGGGCAGAAGGCTGGATGTTTGTGGTTAGCGGAGAGGGAGCCTGCCTGAGGCGCAGGACTGGTCCCTGCCACGGTCTTCAGAGGAAGCAAGGGGACCACACGCCAGAGAGGAGGACAGAGGCCTCTCACTGTGTGCTTCCGACCTGGCCGGTCTGGCCTCAGGCTTGGAGCCTGCGTGACCGCCCACCGTCAGTGCAGGCGCTGGGGAAGGCCACCAGCCCCGCCCTTCCACTGGTGGAAATGGGGCAGTTAGTGTCTTTCCTCTGGCTTAAGATTTTGCCCCTGTAGGAGTAATTGCAAATATATTAGTGATCACAATCTGTGCAAAAATGTTAAATTCCTCCCATTATACACAAAGACTCTCAGTTTGGGTGAAAAAATAAAAATGCAGCCACTGGCCTAGTGGCTTAGTGGTTAAGTTTGTGCACTCTGCTTCGGCAGCCTGGGGTTCTCAGCTCAGATCCCAGGCATGGACCTACACACCGCTCATCAAGCCATGCTGTGGCGGCATCCCACGTACAAAATAGAGGAAGATTGGCACAGATGTTAGCTCAGTGACAATCTTCCTCACCAAAAAAATAAAACAATAAAAATGCAGGCATAGACCGTATGCAAAAAGACATACCCAAAATAAAACGGCACTAGTTTTACCCCTTAGCAATCACATCTTCTCCAGAGAGGATCTGGAGCCACAGGACCCCCACCCTTTACCAGCTGATCTCAGGCAGGTTGACCTCTGAACCCTAGTTTCCTTATCTGCGAAATGTAGATAATGATCAATACCTTCAGGCTGTGGTGAGGATGACTGTGTAATGACCATGGGAGGGATAATATTTGCTTAATCAGTCATTTGCACCTTAGTGTGAACAAGTTTCTGATCCTTTCCTGAGACCAGGTTTAGATCAGGAGAGGTAGGCAAAAGTATCTGGGAGAAAAAGCCAAGGAGTGAGGATCGGGGGCCACACTTTACCTTGGGGCCTGTCCTAGAGCCACATCGAATGTCCTGTGGCTTGGGTGGTGCCCTGGCTATTCAACTCTGCAAGTGAAGGAGCTGGGACGTCCAGGCCCCATTTCCTGAGGTAGGGAGGGGGGACTGTTGGCTCCGAGTGACTCAGGAAATGGAGGAGGAAGTGACAGCAATGCCAGAGGGTGAGGAAATCCCAGGCCTCACTCGGTCTTAGCCAGAAACACAGGATGGAGGGCAGAGCCGGACCTGTTCAGCTCTCTCAATAAGCGTCCTTGAAATGCCTCATCCCGGGCCCTGTGCTGGGTACAGATGATAAAGCCACACCATGGGGCCTTTTCTTTCAATTCCCTTCTCTGTTTTACACCAAGAGGTTTTTGGCATTTCAGCCTCCCTGGTTTGGATCTGAGACCAGGTTTCAGTCAACCACTTCACGAACAGGGCCACTCCCAGCTGCTCAGGCTGCCACCCTGCATCCAGAATCACTACTAAGTACACCCACACAAGAAATGCAGCCCAATCTGAAGTTACATTCCTTCTCTTCTGGTCCAGCACACTTAAACATTTCCATACATATTCCCCAGGTTTTTCTTGGTATTAGTTAGGAAGATCTTACAACGCATCTGGTGTGTAAGTTCTCCCAGATCAAATTTTTGTATGTATTTCTCTGGAGCATAATAAGATCTGACTCTAGTTATGGGCTCAGAGAGGTGAAGCAACTCGCCCAAAGTCACACAGCTAGTATGTGCTTCCAAAGCCTGAGAGCTTAACCTTGACACTCTCCCACCTTGGCTTTAAAACAAGCACTCTGCCTGGAACTCCCAAAAGGTTCCTGAGGGTCACACAGCCCAATCCCTCATGCTGCTGCTGGGGACACTGAGGTGGGGAGATGGAAGGGGCCTTGCCAAAGGTCACAGGGCAGGGACAGAGCCAAGCCTGATCTCTGCTCTGCTCAGTGCCTCCCTGGGCAAAGCCAGACCTGTGGCCCTTTTTCTCTGAACCCAGCATTCGGAGAAAACTTCCTTTCACCTGTGCATCCTCCCCTCCCCCAGCCCAGGCTCCCCCGGACTTCCTCCCCATCCAGGCTCAGGGAGCCAACAGCATTGAGGAGGGTCTCCTTTCCTCTGCAGGGAAGTTCTGGCACATCTCTGACCTGCACCTGGACCCTGACTACAAGGTCTCTGAAGACCCCCTCCAGGTGTGCCCATCAGCCGGCTCCCAGCCAGTGCCCAGTGCGGGCCCCTGGGGTGACTACCTCTGCGACTCTCCCTGGGTCCTCATCAACTCCTCCATCTACGCCATGAAGGAGATCGAGCCAGAGCCAGACTTCATCCTCTGGACTGGGTGAGAGCCGTCACAACAGCTGCCCTGCCCGGGCCACTGCTGTGTGCCCCCTGCCAGCCTGGCACCTTCCCCACTCTGTCTCCCTTAGTCGTCACACCAGCCCTATTTTAGAGAGGACGAACCTGAAGCTCAAAGGAGTTATGCAACTGGCCCAAGGGCCCCTGGGCCTGGCTGATTCCGAAGTCTGCCCTCCACCTCCGTGTCTCCCGGCCTCAGCAGCATGCGGCTGTCTCTGAGGATGGGGACGCGGTGGTGGCCTGTCTGGGCATGTGGAGAACTCCGGGATTTTAACTTGGGGGATGAACACTGGAGCCAGTCCCACTGGGAGCTCCAGGCCCTGGAGATCCAAATGCAGGGAGGGAGGAAGGTAGGAGGGCTAAAAGTGGGACCAAGTGTCCTGGTCAGCTGCTGACCCCCGTCTCCCCCGGGCTGCCCTGGCCCGGGGCGTTGCTCCGTGTGGGGATAGCTGGAAGGTGATTTCCGCTCAGCTGCAGAGACTCCATCTCTGCTTCTCATTCAGGGATGCTGCTGTAAGTCCTTCAACTTTCCTCAGTACTTGTCCTTGTCACTCAAGTTTCCCTCTTCATACACTCACTCCTTCCCTCCCCTCTTAGTAGGTCAGCCTGTCTTGTGCTCGGCCTGGGGTAGACACTGGGGAACTGAGATGATAGAGACCAGCATCCACCTTCAAAGAGCTCACGGTCCTGTGGGCAACACAGACAAGCCCACTGACCGTGATATACCAGCGAGGAGAGAGGGTCGTGGGGGCATGTGGGAGCTTCACAGGGCACCTGACTCCATCTGGCAGGACTCGGGGGGACTTCCTGCAGGAAGTGGTGAACCAGGAGCTGGTGAGGAAGGCAAGAAGAAGCTCTGACTTCTTGCTCCCTCTTCCAGCTTCAGTGGACACTTCTATAAGGCAGCATCCAACCCACGATGCCCCCAGCTGTCCCTCAGCGTGACATGGGAGTGACTAGGAATGACCCTTAGATGGACCCTGTGGTCAGCAGGAGGAGGGGAAAGGCTGGACACTTAAGAAATGTGACAGTGTCTCAGGAGGGGCCTGGGCAGCTCTGGCTTCCCTGGGCTCAGGAATCAGTCTAGGAAGAGAGCGAGCTTTAGGCGGTGAACCTGGACTTGTGCTGGCGAGAGGGTTCTTGCTGGGGGAGCCTCTGAATTCTCTGAGGAGGGGACCTTGGAGAAATGTGTGACACCTTGAAAGATGTGTTCCCTCTGGGAAATCCATGATCGCTTTGGGAAATCCATGATCCTTTAACAGAAACGTGATTTTTCTGGGAAATCTCTGGGACCTTGCAGAAGGGTATGGCATTGGACAAGCTGACATCTAGGACCCTTTGTAATTCTTCAATTTCTGAGAAATTTGACTCCTCTGGAAGAGATGCAATTGCTCGGGGGATAACCTGTTGAAATTGGATGGGTTTTCTATCAGACAGAATTCGATCTCCAAGCTAGAAAAAAAGAAGTAGAGTTTTGTTCTGCTGTCTTTGGATTCCCAGCCTGTCCTCAGCGGGAACAGAGCTAAAAGGCTCCTCTTGCTGCCTTCTCGAAGGTATCAGAGACACAGTAGGACATAATGGGTGTGAGCATAGACTCTGGAGCCAGGCTGACTGGGTTCAAACCCTGGCTCACCACTTTCTGGCTGTATACACTTAGAGAGAATTCTTCACCTTTCTCTGCCTTGGTTTCCTTATCTATGAAATGGGACTAACAATAGAACCTACACTGTAGGATTATTATGAAGAATAAATTGGTGGATATGGTACAATGCACAGAAAGTACCTGGCACAAAGCAGGCCAGTGCGAGCTGCTAGTAAGCTAATTGACTTCCCTGGGGATTACCTGGGCAGCAGCTGAGTCCTCAGGCTTTACATTGTTGGGGCTCCTGCCAACCCCAAACCCCGCCTTCCCTCAGCCTCCTCCTCTGCTCCCCCACCTTGCTGCCCATTTCTAAGGTGGATCAGGGCTTTAGGTCAGCTAATGGGGGACTAAATGGTCCTGGGGTAGGTCTTGGACCTGCCCAAGAGTAGGTCTGAACTCTATGCTCTGAAGCCAGCTCCTGACTCCTTAGAACCCTTGGGGAAAGGAGCAGAAGTCAGAGATGGCTCCTCCACCCAGGCTCCCTGGGGGCTGGCAGCTGGCACTGGAACCCCAGAGCTTCCCTCTCTAAATAACAATATTAATTACCACCTAGCAGCTGCTCTTCTACATTTTACATACATAATTTTTCCTCTTTATTGAAGCCTCACAAATATTCTATGGGTTGGTTCCATTATTATTTTATTTTACAGATGAGCTAATGGAGGCTCAGAGAGGTTAAACAACCAGCCCAGGGACCCACAGCAGGTCAATGGCAGAGCCCAGGTTTGAACTCTGTCCTGTGTGACTCCCAACTCCAGCCTGGCCATTCCCCCTCAGTGGACGTCTGAGGCCCCGTTCCACAGTCTCTTTTCTTACAAGAGAGCCATCCCTTCTTTTTCTCATACCCCTTCCTGAGCTGCTGGCACCAAACTGGCTCGGTGATGTTTTGCAGTGATGATACCCCTCATGTGCCCAATGAGAAGCTGGGAGAGGCAGCCGTGCTGGAAATTGTGGAACGCCTGACCAAGCTCATCAGAGAGGTCTTTCCAGGTAAGACTCTGCCATCAGTCCTCCACAGCATGCCCTGACCCCCAGGCGGTGCTGGGCTCAAGGGACAACAGCAGCAGGAAGATGTAGAGGAAAGACTTTCATCCACTGACAGTGGTGGCTGTTGGCCAGGTCCTGTGCCAGGCGCTTCACAGCGATCATTTCTTACCTTCCAACAATCCTGCAAGGAACAGGCGAGCTCCTCCGCCTGTGGAGACACACCGAGTTCGATGAATGGAAATGCCTGACATTTCACTGCCTTCTACTCCTGGCTGTTTAACACCAGCCTCACAGCCCCTTCTCAAGGTGCCTACAGTTATATACAAGCACTGTCCCTGGGTGAGTCTCACATGGGCTCGCACACAGTCCTTGTGTCCTGCTCTGGCTCTGGAGTTGCCATCCACCACCCTCAAGCCATCTCGGCTGCTGGAACCTCTGGGAGATGCTGATTTCCAGCCGAGGTGCTGTTTCTGGGTGCTTCCAAGGCCTTCAGAGCTTGGGAGAGCAGGCAGGGACCGTGAATGATTATGGCAGCAGCCCCACGGGACATGCCAGGGAGAATGGGGTCTGCATGCCCCACCTCACGGCCCTCGAAAATGTCTTAAGGCAGGCTGTGCCAGACACAAGGTTCTGGGGGCTGAATCAGGTCCAGGATGCCAGCTGGGGACCTGGGAAAGTGGCCCACAAGCCCCCACACCCCCACCTTCTTTGGATTCTGGGACAGCTGCTTCCTCTACAGGTCTTATTCCTGGGTCCCCAGGACCCAGATATGGAATAATGACAATAAAAACTAATAATAACACCAGCAGCAATAACTCTATGGATCTGTGTGTCCAGGGCTGTCAGGCACTCTGAGAATATTACGTGCCTTAGCTCACTCATTGTCACGATCATTGTAGAGAGAGGTGCTATGTGAGCCTTGGGTCAAGTAAACTGGTCAAGGTCATGTGGCAAGGGTGGGGACTCAAATCCAGGTTTGAGCACCCTCGTATCCACCACTCCCACTGCCACTTCAAGAGAACCCCACCTGTTGTCACCATCCCACATCTCTCCTCCAGGCAACCTCCTTTCTGCCACCCCCTTTCCTCAACGTAAATCAATTTATGCAGAGTTGCCTGGATGCTTCCAGTCTGTGTGACTCAACCCAACCCAACTCAACTCAGACGTGCTTGGGCTGGTTCATCTTCCAGCAGAAGTCTCCACTTAGGGTCAAACCAGGACACATCCGGCCCCCCGCGCTCCCTCCCCACCCCCAGGCATTCTTATTCTCAATGTATAGAGAAGGAACCGATGGCTCAAAGCTAGTCAGGTCCCAGGGAGGGTTTCAAACTCAGATCCAACTGTGAGCTCTCTGTCCTCTGCTCCACATGGGGCTTCTGCAATAAAAGTGAAATAATGGATAAGAAAATGCTTTTTACTGCGATTTGACATACAAGCGTAAATTAGAAGATGTTATAGTTCATAACACACTTACACATTTATTGAATTTCCTCATATCCAAGATGCCATCGACTGTAAGAGGCATCATTATTTTACGTATTGCTGAGAAAAAAAATGCTGTCACTTAAAGTGTGACACAGTGCTTTCTTAAGGCCTCAGTGGTAAGACACACCCCACTTGTAGAGATGTTAAAATGAGAAGAAATTAGAAGAGATGAAATGAGGCATTTTCTGATTTGGGAATTATAACAACATGGTCAAGCAGAATGCTCCTCATTTTATAGATAAATAAGCCAAAGCAACTTGTGGGAGAGGAGGAAAGGACTGAAATTCGAGATCTGGGGTCCCATGTCATGTGTTCTTCCTGGTACGTGCCACTTGTGTCCCATCAGAGTCGCTGTGAATACCAGCACTTGCCTCTCCAGCACGGCCCAGTGGGGAATGCAGGTGTGCAAGGCAAACAGACGAGGCCCCGGTTCAGGCTCTGCCACATTCTAGCTGGGCAATCTCACCGAGACTGTTTTCTCCCTGTGCAAACTGCGGAAAATGCTGGTACCTGCCCAGAGGGTTGTTGTAAGGATGAAATAAGGTAACCCAGTCACTCAGTCAGCCAACAAATATTTCTCAAACATCTCCTAATAGGTGTGACACCATTCTAGGGGACTTCGCTGTGAACAAGATGCCAGGTTGTGCCCTCATGGAGCTTATGCTTGTAAAGAGCTTTGCACAGTGCCTGGCACGTAGAAGCAGCAAAAAATGGGAGCGATTCCCTTCCTTCTCATCTGCTGTGGGAGTCCAGGATTTGTGTTTTTTCTTAAATGGATTCTTAATGGCTGCCTGTATTCACCTTAGAGAGGTGGGGTTTTTCCAGGCATTTCCAGTGCTGGCTTCTGGCTTTGCAAACAGTTCCCGACAGGAATCCTTCACCTCCTCCTCTGGCAGAGATCTCGGCATTTCCAGATCTTGTAGGCCGTACCCGGCAAACGGTTTAACAGACATTTTCCCAAGTGGAAACTGGAGGTTCCAGCCTCCTTGATTGGTTCAAGGTAACTCTCTGGGGTGAGCCAAGCTCAGATAAGGGCAACGCCCTGCCCTGAGCTTGGAGGAGTTTCTATTTATTGTGAAATATTTATTGAGCAACTACTACATGCCAGACGCAGACAGATGTAAAATCAGGGCGAGAATGAGGTTACTCAGGAGGAGGAAATAAGTCTGAGGGGCTCCCCTCCCCCTCCTGGGCTCGATCACAGGCCACTTCCTTGGAAAGGCCTCCCCTGACCCCCACTCCACCCCTGTTATACAATCGCACAGCAAGCGGCTCTCCCCTTTTTGTGACAGCTCTCTCACCTCTAATTACTCAATACCCATCAACCCTACTGCACCACGAGGCGTCTGGCACTGGGGCTCGGGTTTCTGGTTCCCAGGTAGATGCAATGGCACATAGTATGTGCTCAATAAATATGGACTGACTCACAACTGCATGAAACTCCTAAGGCCTCTCAGAGGGAACTAGACCCCTTTCCTAACCGGAAGATGGATTTGGAAATGATGAGAACAAGGAACACTAAATTACCAAGTGGCCAATAATGGATCTGAGGATTATTTAGATCTTCCAGCTCTTTCCTTGCCATCTGATGCTTCCTTTCTCACCAGGAAACATTCTGCTGGGATGCGGTTAGGGAACGGATTGGAGAACTCACTGCTTTTCCTTCTCAGGTCTGAGCAAAGTTTAGCCACATTCTATTAAATGCGGTTTTCTGCTTATCTCTGTTTTTCTTATCGGTGGATTTTTTTCCTTATCACTCTTCCCCATTAGCTCTGATGGCCAGTGGCTGACTGAAAATGACTAATTTCAAGCACTTTCACATACATATTTTTATATCTCTCCTTTTCTCCCCAGACACTAAAGTCTATGCTGCTTTGGGAAATCATGACTTTCACCCCAAAAGCCAGTTGCCGCCAGGGAGCAACAACATCTACAATCAGGTAGCAGAAATGTGGAGACCCTGGCTCAGTAACGAGTCCATCGCTCTCTTCAGAGAAGGTACAATGCCGTCTGCTACTATAAGCAGCACTTACTGTATGCCAAGGCCTAATTTTGTCTTCACAACATTCCCATGAAGCAGGTACTGATTTTATCCCCATTTTACATATAAGGAGACTGAGGTTTGAAGATATCAAGTCACTGGCCAAGGTCACCCAGCTTAGAAGAGGCAGACTTGGGAGCAGGAACCAGGGTGACTCCAGGGCCCATGCTCTTAACCCCACGGCACTAGCGAGGATCAAGAGGGGATATTTATTGAGCATTTACTGTGTGCCAGGCGCTATTCTCTGCAGGTTACTAGACTCCTCGCAGCAACCCTAGGAAGAGGCAGTGACTGTCAGTTCAAGTAGGGTTTCTCAACCTTGCCACTGCTGACATTTGGGCCGGATAATTCTTTGCTGTGTGGCCGTCCTGTGCACTGTAGGATGTTTAGCAGCATCCCTGGCCTCCACCCACTAGATGCCAGTAGCACCCCAGGTGCCATAACCAGAAATGCTCTGGACATTGCCAAATGTTCCCTGGGGCACAAAATCATCTCGTTGAGGACCACTGATCCAGAGACACAGCCAGCCCAAGGTGACCCTGACCTACTCTCTTCCCTTTCTCTCAGTTCCCTGCTCTGGGGGCTCCCCATTGGCCAAACCCAACCAGAAGCCCGGGGCACAGAAGCCCTTTGACTTAGTTCACGTAGGTCAGTTCCTGGGGCAGAGAGCTGAGTGGAGAAGGGTTGACAGTGGATCTGGAGGAGCAAACACACTTCATTGTTATTCCTATTATACAGGGAAGGAAACTGAGGCATAGAGAGGTTATGTAACTTTCCCAAGTTGCACAGCAAATAAGTGATAGAGCCAGGGCTTGAACTCAGGCTACCTGGCTCCAGAGCCTTTGGTCTTACCCACGATGCCCCTCCTACGGGAAAAATGGGAAGGGAGGACATGAGGGAAGGGAAGGCGGGAGAGTGAAGTGAAGGGGGCAGAGGTGTGTCTGGTCAGAGGCCGAGGACCCCTCCAGATTCTCCCTGGCTGTGATGTCCTAGGTGCCTTCTATTCTGAGAAGTTGCCGGGGCCGAGCGGGGCTGGGCGAATTGTGGTCCTCAACACCAATCTGTACTATAGCAACAATGAGCAGACAGCCGGCATGGCTGACCCCGGCCAGCAGTTCCAGTGGCTGGAAGACGTGCTGACCAACGCATCCCGAGCTGGGGACATGGTGAGGGCTGCTACCGCCTCCTCTTCCCTCTCTGGGGTCACTTCCTGAACAGGTCTGCCTCCTCCGCACAAACTCGCCCACCTACCCCGAGATGCCCACATCACAGAGGGTCCTTCATCAAACTAGCCCAGGAGGGGGGCTTGTTCCATCCTGACAACAGCCTGTGAGGCTGGGCCCCCGGAGCCCACAGCAGATTTGAGGCTCCCGAGGGGTGGTGACCGACCCAAGTCACACAATAAGTGGTGGAGCTGAGATTAGACTCTCAGTCTCCAGACTCCAAGTCCAGTGCTCTTGACACTGCCCCCACCTGCCACAGCTGCAGCCCACATAAAAGGATGCCCTGCCCTTGAGGGGTGTCCGTCTAGTCTGCTGGGCTGCCAGCTCCCCGAGGACTGGCCCTGTGTCTCATCTGCCTGAGTCCTGCACTGACCAGCACATCCCAGCAGAAGCTCATGGCTGGTGCTTCTGAGCACTCACTATGCATCAGGCACGTTGCTAAGTGCTTTATATGGATTATCTCATTTATGCAAAACTCCACCAGTTAGGCGCTATTCCCGAAGCGAAAACAGAAGCTCGGAGAGGTGACACACCGCTGGTGTCCCAGAGGCAGTGTGACTCCGAAGCTCACGCCCTCCCTCCCACCCCCCATTCTACCTCTCGCAATGGTGGCCAAGGGCCCAGGTATTGTTAGCTGAGTGGCTCAAGGAATGTAGGAGGTGAACCCACATTACCACATAGCATGTGCTGCACAACCAGGCAAGGAAGGTTTAGTTCCAGGGCCTGAGCTCTCCAAGGGGCGAAGACTAACCTCTGAAGGACCAGGAAGGTTCCCCGAGGAGGTGCCCTTTGAGCGAGTGTTGAACTGCTGGTAGGATTTACAGAGGTGAAAATGAGAAATGTGCTCCAGGTGGCAGGCATAGCAGGTGCAAAGGCACAGAGGCGGGGCAGCATGTGGTACATTCATTGCTGTGTACAGAGTGCCTGAATCTGCCTGGGAGAGGGAGGACGAGGACTTCGGAGGAGGAGGTGTGTTCGAGTCTGTCTGCTTGCCTTTGGGGAGAAAGGCAGGTTTTGAGAGGGGAAGAGAGGGTTGAGGAGGGCGTCCCTGAGCCCCTCCTGCGCACCCCTTCCCGTAGGTGTACATTATTGGTCACGTGCCCCCGGGGTTCTTTGAGAAGACACGGAACAAAGCGTGGTTCCGGGAGGGCTTCAACGAGGAGTACCTGAAGGTGGTCCAGAAGCACCATCGGGTGATCGCAGGGCAGTTCTTCGGGCACCATCACACTGACAGCTTTCGAATGTTCTATGATGATGCAGGTACTCAGCCTGAAGGGCAACTGCCAGCCCACCCCCCCCCACCCCCCGCCAGCCTCTCTCAGTCCCACTATCTCTCTCCTGAAAGGTGCCCCCATCAGTGTCATGTTCCTTACACCTGGGGTCACCCCATGGAAAACCACATTACCTGGAGTGGTCAACGGGGCCAACAATCCAGGCATCCGGGTGTTCGAATACGACCAAGCCACCCTGAGCCTGCAGGTCAGGAGCCCTGGGTCCACTGGGGCCAGAGGAGGCGGGGGCGGGGGGGGGGTGTGTGACATGATCGCCTACTGCCTTCCCTAACTCTTCCCCAGCTAATCCACCCTCTGCCAACCCCTGAGCCTCAGCAAGGTCAGGTTACTTCCACCCTTCCAGAGCTCAGGTTCAGAACCCTGGAGCTACGTCCCCAATCCTGCCACCAAGTCAGGTCAATTCTTCTTCCCCAAATCTCCCTTTGCCCTGGGTCACAGCCTCCTACCTAGTGTCCCTGCCTCTAGCCCTGCCCTGCTGTAGCTCATCTGCTACAGGCTACAGAAGGGGTTAATCCTTCTAAAGATTCTTCTCTCTCTCCTGCCCAAAAACCTTCAATGGCTCCCCAGTGCCCCCAAGACAAGTTGGATCTCCTTGGCCTCGTAGTTAAGGCCTCCCACAGTGTGACCTCAGGCCCACTGCCCCCCGCTTCCCTGCACTGACTAGGCCCCAGCCAAAGCAGGCCCTTGACGCATCGAGCAATCCCTCACCAACCAGGATGTGCTTGTGATTGTTCAAGTGACAAAGAAATATTATTCCTTAATTTATTCAACAAAATGTACCAAGCATCTGCCACATGCCAGACCCTGTGCTGAGCTCAGGTGATACATAAATGAACAAAAACAGTCACAGCTCGCCTGTAGCTGACCTTGCCGGAGACAGACAATAAACCAGTAAGTAAAGTATGACACAGAGAGAAGTGCTAAGGAGAAAAGAAAACAGTGAGGAGACAGGTGGTAATGGTTACAGGGTGTGTGTGTGTATGCTGTTAGGCAGGTGGGGCAGAGAAGTGTCCCTGACAGGGTGACACTTGAATTCTGAGTAAATTCCAGGAGCAAGCCATGTGAGGATCTGGGGGAGGCGGAGGAGAGCCAGTCAAAGACCCCAGGGTGGGGACATGCTTGGTGTGTTCGGGAAGAACAAGGAGGCCAGTGTGGCTGCAGGAGGACAGGGCGGGCGTGGGAGGGACGAGGCCAGATCATGTAGGCCATCATTAGGACTCTGACTTTGGAGAGTTTGGGGCAGAGGAATTAAATATTCTGATTTACAATTTTACAAAGTCACCATGTCTGCTGTGCAGAGAACAGGCTGTTGGGGGCAAGGGCAGAGCAGGGGATCAGTCAGGAGGTGACCACGGCAGCCACTGGGAGGGGCGGGCGGCGGCAGTGGGGTGGTGAGAAGTGCCAGATCCTGGATGTGTTTTGAGGGCAGAGCGGACAGGATGTGCTGGAGGATTGGATGAGGGGAGTGGGAGCAAGAGAGGCGTCGAGGAGGCCTCCCAGGCTCCAGCCTGAGCGCCTGGAAGGACGAGGCTGCCGTTTACTGAAATGGGATCACAGCGGAGGAGCAGGTTTTGGAGGGAAGATCAGAAGTCTGGTTTTGGCCCTGTTCACTTTGGGGTGTCTAAACAGCATCCAAGTAAAAAGGCCGAGGGATGAGGCAGCCGGGCGTTCAAGCTGGAGGTCCACGAAGAGCGGGGTATAGAGACTTAATCTGGTTGTCGAGAAAGGACATTTAAAATCAGGGGCTGCAGGGGATAACCTAGGTCCTTGATCCAGAGGAAATGTAGATGGAGACGAGGTCTGAGGACTTTCAGAGTGTGGCCTGCTGTCCACATGGGCACCCAGAAGGCCTTAGCAAGAGGAGTCATAGGCTGGGACTCTCCCTGCTCCTCCCCTCCCCCCATATGCCTACATCCTTCTCAGGGAGGGAGTCAGTCAGACCTGGGTTTGAATCCTGGCTCCACGATGCATGAGCTTTTTGACCTTTATGGGCCTCTGTTGCTTCATCTATAAAATGCGAGTGACAGTACCTGGTAGGGGTGGGGAGGACTAACCCAAGTAATGTAATGTGCCTCGCAGGAAGTCGTCATCTACACACGGCAGCTCCTCTCACCCCACCTCTAAGGACCTGAAGCAGATCTATATTTCAAGTGGAAAGTGTTGGACAGATATACCCTTCCAGATTCTAGTCCTTAAGATGCACCTGGATCCTAGAGGTCTTGGGCATATCCCAAGCCCCCATCCACCACAATTCTATAATCTCTCTCAGCCAGGCACCCCATCCTACTTCTTTTAAGTTGCTTTTATCCGTTTATTCTGTAAATATTTACTGAGCATCTTTTGTGCTTGCTGGGACAGGAAATGCACAGGCCATGGGGTAAACAACCTAGGTTCCAATCCTGCCTCTGCCACTGAACACCTGTAGGACCCTGGCCAAATGCATTAACCCCTTTAGGCCTGTTTCTCATCTGTGAAATGGGGGCAATAAATGCAGTTACCTCATCAGATTCAATCAGAGGATGTGGGCCAAGCACACCTGGTAAGCGGTAAAAGCTGGGTAACCAACAGTGGTCATTATTACAGCTATAAAGAATCTAGGGGCAAAGGCAAGGTGCAGGATCGGGGTGGAACCGGACAGCTGCCCACGGCCTGCCCGCCTCGCGCCCCCTCTCTAGGACATGGTGACCTACTTCGTGAACCTGAGCCAGGCGAACGCGCAGGGGGCGCCAAGCTGGGAGCTCGAATACCGGGTGACGGAGGCCTACGGGGTGCCCAACGCGAGCACCCGTTCCATGCACGCGGCCCTGGACCGCATCGCCAACGACCAGGGCGCGCTGCAGCGCTACTACGCCTACAACTCGGTCAGTTACGACTTGCAGGCCTGCGGCGAGGCCTGCCGCACCGAGCACGTGTGCGCGCTGCGCGAGGTGGCCTTCGACGCCTACTCCGCCTGCCTGCGCGCCCCCGGCGCCGCGCCCGCGCCCCGGCTCGCGCTCCTGTTCACGGCGCTGCTGGGCCTGCGCGCGCTGCTGGCACCGTGACCTTAGGTGCCGCCGGCTGGCTCGCCAGGCTCGCCCTTCCGGTGGTAAATGGGGGCAGCATCACCCCGAGAGCTGGACTTTTCCACCATTTTCCCCGCATCCGTACAGTGAACTGGGGTGGGACAGCCAGATCAGGAAATGAAGCCCAAAAGAGCCCACCAGAAGCACGTTTCTTTCAAGTTTCATGTTTTATCCAAAAAAGAATGCTTATCGTGCATCTTATTCTGCGTATTATTCCTTTTAATATGTACATAACGTTTAAAGCAACTCCCTTGCAGCTACGGAACGTCCTCCCCCCCCCCCCCCCCCCCGTGCAGATAATCAAAGTGAAACGAACCACCAGGAAGATGAGCCTTCTTGGTCCTGTGCCCTTGGTACTGTGCACAGGGCCCGAACTCCAAGTGCACTTAGTTTGAGACAGGCCTTTCCGTTTTGTTGTTTTGTTTTGCAACAGTGCAGATGTGGAGGGATCGCAGTTCAAGGCCGGGCGCTCATTTTGGGGCCGTTTTCGCCGTCTTGGGCCTCCAGGAGCCTCAACGGCAATACGCGGCAATTAGAAGCCTGCTAGGCCAAGGGCAGCGCGGCTCGGACGGTGCGTCTTGGGGCCCTGCGGTCCTCGGTGTTCAGGGGTGCCGCGTGGGGGCATCCCAGGGCAGGCTGCATAGCCAGGGCCCGGGTCGGTCCTAGGCAGCGCGGAGGGCGGGGTAGGGGACAGCGGGCGGCCCCGCGGCGGGGTCCCAGGGCCACGCTCCTCCCCGGACAGGGCGGGGCGGGGAAGTCCCGCCCAGCAGGCCCGGGCCCGAGGTGGCCCCGAGGGCTGTGCCCGCCTCCTGCCTGCAGCTGCGACCCCGGGCCCGGAGGGCGGGCCCAAGCAGAAGAAGAGAAGCAGGGGGCGAGGCTGGCGGGTCATGCCCTGGTCGCCCCGCGCCGCGCTCCTTTGGGACCTGGTCCTGGGCGTGTTGGGCACCGCCGCCTTCCTGATCGACCTGGGCGCCGACCTCTGGGCCGCGGGCCAGTATGTGCTCAGCGGCCGCTACCTGTGGGCCGCGCTGGTGCTGGCGCTGCTGGGCCTCGCCTCGGTCGCGCTGCAGCTCTTCAGCTGGGTCTGGCTGCGCGCCGACCCCGACGGCCTGCACGCGCGGCAGCCCCCGGGCCGCTGCCTGGCGCTGCTGCATCTCCTGCAGCTCGGCTACCTGTACCGGTGAGCGCCCCGCCCTCGGGAGGAGGAGGGGGCACGGAGCCCAGCGGCACTTCCTGCTGCGGGGAAGTGGGTGGGGAGGGGAGGACCTGGACCCAGCAGGCGAAACTAAGCCCCTCGGGCGCCTCTGCCTACAGGTGAGCTCCCCGCCTCTTAAAGAAAGAGAGCCGCGGCTGACAGCCTTCGGTGCTCATCTAGCCCTGCCCTTCCTGGCACAGGGGAAGAAACTGAGGCCCAGAGAAAAAAGGGAGGCGCATGGTTTGGAGTCCGACCTCAGGGATCCAGTTCTGGCTTTCCCACCAGTTTCTTCATTCCTGCCTTTCTCTGACCCTCGGTTTCCTCCTATGTTAAGAAGAGGTGGTAATCTAGAGTCAGGTCTGGCCGCCAGGCCTGTTGTGAGAGTGAGGGAAAACGTGGGAAAGCGCCTCCGCCAGCGCTTGGCACAGGGTGGACTCTGTTGTAATGGCCGAGGCTGGTCCTTTTAGCTGTGGGCAATGCCTTGGGCAAGTCACTTGACCCCTCCTCGTCTCAATTTGCTCGTTCCAGTGGAGATGGTTGTAGTACCCTCCTCTGGTGAGGACTGAATGAAATGAGAACTGTGAGACGCCCAGAAGAGCACTCAACAAATGTCGGCCAGCTTCGGGATTCCCTGGGTCACCCTGGGAACTTCAGCAGCCCTGACCCCCAGAGCGGCCCCTGTTCCCTCACCCTGGGCGCCCCTCACCCTTTCTTCCCCAGCTGTCTTCTCCTTGAACATCTGCTCCCCACTCCCACCTCCTCACCCCCAGGCTGAGTAGGAGGGCAGAGATGGGGTCTGACTCATCCTTGTCCCTGGAGCCAGCCTTTTCAGAGCTGGCAGGCCCTGTAGAGTTGGGCAAACTGAAAGCAAGGGGTTAGAGTCATGCCTTGGAGTCAGGACATCATGTGGTCTGGGTTGGGATGGGGTGGCTGGAGCCAGGATCCACTCTTGGCTCCATTTTTACAGATTCTTTCCAGATCTTGCCTTCACAAAGCTGCATCGAGTTTCCAGGAATGGGCGAGAGGAGCTTTGAATGTGGCAGTTTTGCCTGAGGGACCATACGGGCATCAATAAAACCCCGGTGGGGCAGGAAGTGGCACAGTTATTACAGTCCTGGCAGGAGAGGCCTTTAACTACACCGCGCATCCTCCCTTCCCTATTTCTGCTGAGCATGAGGCAGACAGACTGTACTGAGCTTTGGTTTAGAAAACGGAGTCTCTGTTCCTGCCTGTGACTATGAGGCAGGGGCCCCTGCCAGGTACTGGGGGACCAGAGGCAGTGGCTTCTGCTGAGAGAGCCCTGACCCAGGCCTGCCTGCCTGCTCCCTTAGTGCGTTTTCAAGTCTATTCAGGGGAGGTGTCAGTAAACATCTGATGAATGAGTTTGCAGTGAGGGAATGGCTCCCCTTCCAATGGCCAACTGAGATGGTTCTGGGCCCTGGAGACTTTGGAACATCCTCCACTCCTCCCTCATGCCAGTGGGTCGCCCAGGCCTGTCTATCCAACCTCTGGACTCTCTTAACTCCGCCCTGCTCTCTGTCTCCACTACTCTGGCTGGGCTCTCGTCCTTTCTCCCTGGACTGTTACAGCCCCCTCTTAACTGGATACCTGCTTCCACTCCAGCCCCTCCCACCCGTTCTCCTTTCCACGGCTGGGGTGCTCTTTCTAAAGCACAGTCTGATCTATCTCGCCTGTGCTCAGAAGCTCTCAGTGGCTCCCCTTCCCCAGGGGATCCCAAGAAATTCTGATGCATGCTAAAATTTGAGAATTATCACCTTAGGCAATTTCGCAGTATGCTTTTCAAATTCAAACAGCTTTGGATGCAAATCCTGATTCCACTGCTTGGTAGCTCTTTGGTCCTGTTTCCCCATCTGTAAAATCAGGATGTTGTAGGGAGTACATGGGACAAGGTTTGTGATGAGCTTGGGACATTGCCTGGCCACGAGGAGCAGCAGTGGTTGTATTTATCCCCATTTTATGGATGAAGAAACAAGTTCAGTGAGGTTAAGTCGCTTGCCCAAGGCCCCACAGCATGTTGGTGACGGAGCTAGGATTGGAGCCTGTCTGCATCCACCTGATAGGTTAGGGGAGAGAGGAACGCCACAGGACACTAACCTGGCCCCTTGGGGCATCCGTATGTGCCTAGGTGTGCGCAGGGGCTGCGGCAGGGGCTGTTTGTGTGGCGGCAGGAGGTGCCCTCCGAGTTTGACTTGGCCTACGCCGACTTCCTCTCCCTGGACATCAGCATGCTGCGACTCTTTGAGACCTTCTTGGAGACGACGCCGCAGCTCGTGCTGGTGCTGGCCATCATGCTGCAGAGTGGCCAGGCAGAGTACTACCAATGTGAGTGACGGGCCAGTGGCCGGCCCCCCTTTTATGGCTTGGGAAGTTTTCCCACAAATGTCAGAAGTGTCTTCACTCTTATAAGGGCTGTTTAGCAAAAAGGAGACCATCCTTTAGTCAGGCAGATCTGGGTTCAAATCCAAAGTCACTCTCTAGCCGTATGAGTTTGGACAAATGACTCGACCTCTCTGAGTATCAGTTTGTTCTCATCTGTAAAATGGACATAATGAATGATCCTACCTCCTAGGGCTGATGACAGAGCTAAGTGTGGTGACACATATGAAGCCTAGTGCCTGGCACATAATGCATCTTAATTGTAATTTTTAGTATTTTGAGGATAATAGAGATAAAGTATGAAGGGGGCCTGACACAAAATAGGCAGTTTGTTAGTCACTAAACGATTTATTGAGCACCTTCATACACTCAAGTTTTATTGAGCACCTTTGTGCCTGTCCCTGTGCCAGGGACACTGCCGTGAACGGGGACACAGCCCTGCCCTGCTGGGATGATCGACAGTAGAGCAGGTAGTTAAGTAAAGTGTGTTGAGTGATCTGAAAAGGGAGGGGCAGGTGGCCTCATAAACCATGGGGAATTTGTACAGTGAGGAGCGTGGGGAGGGTTTTCTCTTGTAAATGGGAAGACACACCCAAGGTCACAGACCCAGATGGCCGCCAAGCTAGGACTCCAACTCACGTCTGATCCAGGGGCCAGGGCTTCCCCTTCTCCTTCACACCTCTGCACGCCTTGAGGCCCCCCTGCTGTAAACGGCACAGCCTCTCAAGGAACCAATCCCCACTCTGCCGTCACTCACTGTGCGACCCAGAGAGTCTTCCCCTCCCTGGCCTCAGTTTCCTTGCCTGTATGAGATGCAGGTCGGACTCGATCTTCCTTTCAGCTTGCTAATCCAAATCTGTAATATATATATATATATATTTTTTGAGGAAGATTAGCCCTGAGCTAACTACTGCCAGTCCTCTTCTTTTTGCTGAGGAAGACTGGCCCTGAGCCAACATCCATGCCCGTCTTCCTCTACTTTATACATGGGATGCCTGCCACAGCATGGCTTTTGCCAAGTGGTGCCGTGTCCGCACCCAGGATCCGAACTGGCAAACCCCAGACCACCAAAAAGCAGAACATGTGCACTTAACTGCTGCAACCACCAGGCCAGCCCAAAATCAAATCTGTAATATTAATTGAAAAAAAAAAACCCAGTGGTAGTAGCAGCTGTCATGATTGAGTGCCTGCTGTTAGCTGGGCACTGTGCACAGTGCTTTGTTGTCATCATTGCTCACATCCACAGCAGCCCTATAGGTTGGTGCTATGTTTATCTCCATTTTACACAAGAGGAACGAGGTACAGAAAGGTGAAGTGATTTGCCCTGGGATGCACAGCACTCAGTGGGCACATATTTTTGTCTGTTTGAAGGCAGTGGCTGTCCAGGACCAAGGCCACATGGAGAGTCTACACTGTGGCAGCGGGGAGGGAAGAGACAAATTTTCTCAACTTTTTATTTAGCAAACATTTATCCAGCTGCTATTATGTGCCAGGTCCTGGGCTGCCCGGGGATCCCAGGGGAACAGAATCTGTTTCCTACCCTGAAAGAGCTCAGAGATGAGGAAGTAAATGGATAATTTACTGTGTGGTAAGACTCCAGACAGAAGTGGATGGGGTGTTACAGGACACCTGATAGTGGAGTGGGTGCAGTGGGGTCAGGATGGGTGACTCTAGGGGCCATTCAAGCTGGAACTTGCAGGGTAAGGAGGAGGAGGACAGGGGAAGTGGGGCATGTGCTCTTGGCCTACATGTCATGGGCAAACTTGTCCAGGTCAGAGAATGCAGCATGCTGGGCAAACTGGGAGAACATCAGCCCTGCCGAGACCTGGAGTGTGGGGTGGTCAGAAAGGACGATGGCCACAGATCCGATTCCAGGCTGGGAGTGGGTTCTTGGCCTGTAACAGGTTCCTAGTAAACATCTGTTGAGTGGATGCGGTGGGAAGTGGGCAGGGAGGAAGCGTTCTAGAGACATTTCAGTCCTGCTTCCATCCTTCCCTGGAGGCCCTGGTGCCTGGTCCAGGGCGGGCAACCAGAAGGTGGGACAGGATCCCCACCGTTAACTTCAAGCCTTGGAAAATCAAGACCAGGGTCCAGTCTGAGTGTGGAGGGGAGGGCAGTGGGGGACGTTCCATTTGTACAGCAGGGACATCCCTCCTGGCCCTGAGGGCAGCTTCAGCCGGTGGCCTGTTGCCACCCCCTGGGATTTCCTGCTTCCTTTTCTGAGACTAAGAAAGAGGAACTGGGACTGCCATTTTCAGACCTAAGAAAGGCATGGGCTCTTCTAGGAAAGGAAGGATTACAGGGCACTAGAAGATGCTCAGGGTGTTGCCAAGGCCCAGGGGTGCTGGATGCTGGGTGAGGCGTGCAGATGAGGGTATAAAAGTCACACACCCTCTCATCCTTGAAAAATATCACCGTGGTCGCACCTGAAAAGTACAGCTTAGTGGTGTACTTAGAGCAGACTTCGTATTTGAATCCCGGCTCTGTTTTTGCTTGTATGAACTTACTTAACATTCTCCAGGTGTAGTTTTTCCTTCAACAAATTGGGGGTTCTAATACCCACCTCAGGGTGGTGACAAGGGACCCCATGAGGCCTGTGATTCCTGGGGAGCGCCAGGCAGGCTGCCCGCGGGGCTCACCTGTTTCCTCTTGCTCTTCGCAGGGGTCAGCATCTGCACGTCCTTCCTGGGTATCTCGTGGGCATTGCTTGACTACCACCGGGCCCTGCGCACCTGCCTCCCCTCCAAGGCCCTCCTGCGGCTGGGCTCCTCGGTGATCTACTTCCTGTGGAACCTGCTGCTGCTGTGGCCCCGAGTCCTAGTTGTGGCACTGTTCTCGGCCCTCTTCCCCCGCTATGTGGCCCTGCACTTCTTGGGCCTGTGGCTGGTGCTGCTGTTCTGGGTCTGGCTTCAGGGCACGGACTTTATGCCAGATCCTTGCTCCGAGTGGCTGTACCGGGCGACAGTAGCCACCATCCTTTATTTCTCTTGGTTCAATGTAGCTGAGGGCCACACCCGAGGCCGCGCCACCATCCACCTGATGTTCCTCCTGAGTGACAGCATCCTCATGGTGGTCACCTGGGTGACTCATAGCACCTGGCTGCCCAGTGGGGTCCCACTGCAGATGCTGCTGCCTGTGGGCGGCACCTGCTTCCTTTTGGGTCTGGTTCTGCGGCTTGTCTACTACCGCTGGCTGCACCCTAGCTGCCGCTGGGAACCTGATGGAGTGGACGGGACCCAGGGCCTCCGCAGCGAGGGGCGTCAGCGGCCTCAGAACAGGCGCATGGCCCGGTTGGCTCAGAACTTTTTTCCTAAGACTAGGGATGAACCATGGAAGGGAGAGGTGAATGGAGTCCTTTGAGGCATGGTCAGACCCAGCCAGGGGACAGAAGGACAGATGGAATCACTTGGTAGAATGCAGAAGATAAGCTAATTATGCTGCTATGGGCCTTGATTCTCTCAACAAGCACTTGATACCTGATCTGGAAGCACAGGAGACCTGCGTTGAGTAAGACAGAGGCCTCTCTTCAAGGATGAGAAGGGCTGGGCCCTGGAGCGTCAAGGGCCCCAATTATGTAGACACTTTGGGAGGAAAGAAGAGACCCCCTTTTCTCTTCCCTCCCAACCAGTACAGCTGGTGTGCCAAAGCATCCCAGGGTTGGTATTTTCACCTCCCTGGCCACCTCTAAAATAATTGGTGGAGGTCCTGTCCCACCCCTTGGTCCCTCTATCCTGGGCTAGAAGGCCCCAGGACCTCCAGGATGTGTTCCCTAGAATTCTTCCTCCTCTGCCCCACCCCAGTCATTCAAATGTTTACTGAGAGCATTTTAGGTGCCAGGAACATCATTCTGTCCTTGGAACTTGGAACAAGATCAGCAGCCACCCCAGCTTCATCCCTTACCCTCTCCAGCAGCTCCTGAGCAGGCTCATGCTGGAAGCCAGGGATGCCCAACTGGCTGACACCTGTCAGCCCCTCCAAGGCCTGAGTGCAGCTGGTCCAGCCTCTGCCCCTGCTCTCAAGGGGCCACCTTTTGACCAAGTGCCTTGTGAACCTATGGTCTGGGCCATGGCTCAGCCTGCGGAGTATTTTTTATACTTTAGGCAGCGTACTTTCTACCTCAGAGTCTACGTGAGAGGAAGAGAAGGCATGTGCACATGTGTCTCTGCAAGTGAGAGACACGTTTGTTTTGTTGAACAGTATTATTAAGTTATTAAACCCTCATGAAATCCTCCAACCTGGTTGTGTCATTAAACTAAATCTACTGCAGAGTTCAAAGCTGCCTGGAAAGAGGGGGTCAGGAACACGAAGTCCACCCCTCAAAGTAGTAAAGGTCCTGGGACCAGAGAAGAAGTGGGCTGGCTTAGGCAGGACTTCTCCACCTTGTTTCCCAAGTTTCGGAGCCCGTGAGCCAGTGTGGGGTTGATGGTTCAGGTGGTCGGCAGAACCCAGATCTGGACGGACTGGTGCCTGCTCCTAACCAGCTCTGCTGGGCCTGGCAGGGGGAGCCACAAACACCTTTAGTTCCAGCAAGTCAATACGAGAGCCCAGGTGAAGAAAGCTCTCTTTGTTGGGAGCTCCTGGAGGGTGTGAGTGAGGTGGCGGCTTGGGGATGTGCATGGGGGCACCGGTGCCTGGGAGGTGGAACCTTTTGCTGCTCTGGGAGGCGTGTGGTTTGGACAAACAAGGAACAGCAAAAGGGCACTGGAGACAGAAGAGGCTGCAATCACCACTGTGACAGGACCCGGGATAGTGTCAGTTCTGTCAGTCATTGATTCTAGTGGAGGCACGATAAACAGGACAAGTGAAACAAGTTTGCTTCACTGTGTGGTTCAAAATGTGCACATTCTGATGAAAAGATTTAATGCCTATAGTACAAAGCAACCACCTCTTTCTGGAGGAATTAATTTGGGGGAAAATTTATAGTCTGCCATGTATCCGACAGTGCTAAGGGCTAAAAGAAATGTAAAGTAGGTAAGGGGACAGGGACACTGTGAGTGTGTTGTGGGTGGGAGTTGCAATTTTACATAGAATGGCAGGGGAAGGCCTCCCTGAGAAACTGATACGCCCTAAGGAGGTCAGGGTGAGAGCCACGCAGATGCCCTGTATCCCAGACACCAAGTCAGCAGTGACTGGATGAAGGAGAGCTTGTAGCCGCTCTAGAGGCCTGGAGACAAGGATGACACAGAGATGAGGCTTGGGAGCAGGGAGAGGCTCTGGAAAGGTGCTGCTGGTACTTTTCACGTACAGAATGGTAGAGGCAGAAAGGATCTCCAAGGTCATTCAGTCTCGTGATTTCCAGACTTAAATTTCATGGGCCAGTAAAATGGCCAACATGGTTGCCAACTTTAACAGAAAGGGCATAAAACCTACCATTATCTTCATCATCTCAAAGGATATAATGGCCTCAGAAAAATTACCGTTCTTTCAATTGAAAACATTTAAACACACACATAAAAGTGAAATTATAATTTTTCTTAGAGAATATCAAGGGTTGAGAGCCCAGAGGGTGGGCTGAGTGCTCAATCCAGCCTCAGACATAGGTTCTAAGGGTTTCACTAAAATGTTTGCTACGTTTACTTTCCCACACTTCCTGTCATATGTGGAGATTAGGCTCAGGAGAGATGTCATATGTGCCCAAACAGAAGATGTGTTTTAGGCAATTCCCCACTCTCCCCTGAGAAAATCCAAAAATACGTGTTTTTAATTTTTTGGCTAAGCTCTCATCTATACTTTCCAGATGAAATTCTCAAATGATGGTAATATGTAATTAAATCCAAACAACGTATATAGTATACTACCTAAAAAGCTGTGGAATCCAGCAGTCACTTCATTTGTATATATAGTTTTAAAGTCTACAGAATCAAGAATTTTAAAATGATGAGCGACATTACTTGCAAATAGAAATTTCCTTTGAAGATTCCCATCAGGAAGTTTTAAATGTCAAGAAAACTGTTTTTAAAGAATAAAAAAACTTCCTGAATTACTAATTCTTACCTGCGAGCAAAAGATTTTTGAGACATGTACAGATGTTATACTTACTGGAGGGGGGAGATGGAAATGTCTCCTCTTTGGGCTTGAAAAGCAATCAGTACTCTAATACTTGTATTTATGACCAGGTAAGGACATAGCAACTAACAACTTTGCTTCACCTACAGTGTGGTTCAAAATGCGCACATTCTGATGAAAACAGTTAAAGCCTAGAATACAAGGCAACCACCTCTTTCTGGGGGAATTAATTTGGGGAGAAATTTATCTTATAGTCTGACATGTATAATACTCGGAAACTAAAACCGAATTCTAGTCTCCTTCATTGAAATAAAACGCAAAAGGATTCTTCTTGACTGTTTTCCAGACTAGTGAGGGACAGTCAGACCCAAATCTCAAGAAATGAAAGGAGGAAAAGTAGTTGATGGATGTGACATGAAATCAGGTCAAATCAAACAAGGTTTAATATCAATTTGTCAGTTTTATTGCTTTTGCATTTTAAGCTCAGCACAGCAAGGTATTGACTTCTCTCTTTAATAATTAAATTTCAGCACATTTGACAGCAAATGAAATCTATTATTCTAGACCTAAACTTTAAAAAGCAATATATTTTAGAAACAGTTGAGATAAACTTTCCCTTGCAAGTTAGTTTAAAATATCTTTTATTATCCCATGAACATTTATTTATACCAGATCCTTAGATTTTCTGTTTTTAATTTTTTGGTGAAATTAACGACCCAGTTACTGAAAGGGTGCCATCTTTCTAACGAGTTCTTCAGATTTTATATGGAGCCCTACTCAGCTGGGCAACTGGGCTGATCCTATTCAGAAAAGAGACAGGAGCAAACTGTATAGAAAATAAAAACTTTATTTTTTCAAGTTTATAAGATAGTTCCCATTACATACAACATTATGGTCAAGGACTCTACAGCCACGAATGCCCGCAGTCACATAAATATATCCAATCCAATCAATGCCTCTTCCTGCCAAATGAGGCATCTGAAGTCCAGAGGGTCACGTTTTGAGTAGAAGTCGTCCTTAATGGGGTGGCTCCTGTCAGTGCATTAGGAACTAGCCAAGGAGCCTTGCTTGCTGGAGCTATCTGACGAGAGGAGAGGAAGGGACAGAGGGCCTGCCGATCGGAGATGGGACAGAACTAGATTTTCTCTCTTGTCGTTTAAGATATCTTAGAATCTCAGAATTCAGATTTGGCTTCTGTAGTATGAATATATGAGGAGTTCCAATTTTTAGATGAAAAAGGCAATCAATTTAGTGGTAAGAAATAGAAGCCTGCTTAATAGGGGCCCTGACTGCCCCTTTCTGCAGGAGCAAGGAGAGGAGGCTCATCACCCCTTGGCTTAGGCCACTGCTCTCCCAGGAAAAGGAAGAACAGAATAAGGGCTCTGCCCCTATATTCCTCTTCCCAGTTCAGTGGCACTGACAGCTATCAAGGTAGTGAACATCTAGAAGCTCTACATGGTGCAGCTGGAACTTGCCAATCAGATTCTACTTGGAACTTTAAAGCTGAGATGGTGTAAACTGCGAACAAGCTGTGGCACAAGTCTCCTGGGACACTAGCTTTGCCCCCCAACTTGAAGAGCAGAAGACAGGAAGACCCCAAACCAAATAACAGCCCAAATAGGCATCTAAAGCTGGAGCAGGCATCCATTCTCCTGGTCACCACCATCTGCCCCAGGGGTAGAGACAGGGTGATGCTAAGGCACAGTCAATTTTACATTCGAAAGTCAAGCCACCTCTTAAACCCAGGACACACCTGACAACTCCAGATCCTCTACTAGAGAGAGCTCTCACCATGCAATGTGCAGACCCATCTCATGGAACCCACAGTGCCCAGCGTGGGGAAGGACTCATCATGTGGCTAATTTGGGACTCTTTCTAGTAAAGACAGCTTCTCCGCTGACGAAAGGACCCAGAGTATCCTTTGGCCCTCAGCTTCCAACAGCTCTTGGTGCTGCCCACTTATTTTCCTTTCCAGATCTTTGTGCTGGGGAGGAGGAAAACAGGGTCAAAGAGGAACACTGTGTTCCCTGGACAATTCATTTTAGAAAGAGGAGCCAGGAAGCTCCCGCTTTCTGTCTGCCCTCTAAATGAGGGCACTGACAATAAGAACAGAGGCTGCTCTGCTCAGAGAGCTTCCTCACCTCTCTTAGCCAATTTCAAGTTTCTTTTGCAAAGACCTGAGCTGGGCGCTCAGGGCAGGAGAGAAAAGGCCATTGAAAAAGGAGTCTGCATCATATTCTAGGGATAAAGAGCTTCTCCCAAAGGGCAGGGAGAGAAGTGTGGGTGTGTGGGACCTGTGTGCATGATGGCAGTGCCACTCCACAGCCTCACAAGCCTGAAGCACAGCACCAACAGGGTGGCCTGTGTCCAGGGCAAGAAACCAAAAGCTATACTGCTAGCAGAGGGAGGGCTTGGGACCTGGAAGAAAAGACCTAGCCTAGAGCCTTCTAAGATCAATTGTCAAGCAAGGCAGAGCAGCATCTGGGCAACTATGCTGAACACAGACCAGGGAGGGCTGGCCTCAGACTATATACCTCCATCCCCTCCCCGACCCCACCAATGGAAACAAGGCCAAAAAGACAGCTAAGCAATGAGCACTGACTTCAGCTCCTCTCCACAAACCTCTTCCCTAAAATTGTGAGTCATGAGGCACTTTCTCCTTCAGTTCTGGAGAAATGTGTATACCAGCCTTTCTCTGCTGCTATCTGGGTGACCTAGCATTGGGAGGAGTCTGGCTTCTGGTGCTGCAACGTCTCTGGAAATGGATATGCCAAATCTCTGGGGACAAGCAATTACAGCTGGGCCTGGCCAAGTGATGCCTCCTATTAAGGACCCAGACTGCATCTCTCTGAGATGCTTATATAATCACCTTTCTCTGTGCAGCCTGGGAGAGGCTGAACTTCCTCAGCTCTAGGGAAGTTTATCCTGCTTGAGCAGATGCCCACGTAGGTCTTGGAAGGATGAAGCATCGACAAACACAGCTGGGCTGTAAGGATGGGACCGGTGCCTGGCACCTGCCATTCTTCTCAGAGGCCAGGCAGAGAGAGATTCCTGCATTTGACCCAGGGTTAAGTAAGTTTTCGGGCGTGGAACAGGGGTCCAATACCCTCATTTAAATCAGGAAGGTCTTTCTGGCCTTCTGGTTTCCCATTTTAGAATGGAATTTGAGAAGCAGAAAGGGTGTTCCACAGGAAAACTGGATTTTGATCACAGCAATCTCTTTAGTTT